CTTCCTCTGACATCATCAGGGACAGAGGGCTATGGCACATATGGGCATTGGCTCAGGAACTATTGATCTTTTTGATGAAGTAGACAAGTGACTTTAATTTGGGGTTCGGAATTCCCAGTAGGTTATCCATTGAATTATTATTGACTATGAATCCCTCCGTGACCCATACCCCAGCTGGGCTCTGCCCTCTGTTTATTGCCCAGACACTGGAAGGACTTGTGTACCTGCGCTGTAAATGTGACTACAGCACGTTCCTCCCCAGGGCACATTCCTTAGCTCTGCAGTTCTTTCCTGTTCTTTTATCCTCGGTTTTGGCTGTACTGCCTCCTTGAGAAATTTAACACTCCTGTCTGATTGTGACCTTTTGTTCATTTTGAGATTGGCATCTCTCAGGAAAAAGGAGTGTAGTAGTTTCATCAGGACAGTGCATGTTGATTTGCCGCATATGTGTTTAGCTTCTAAACAGTAGCTTTCCTGGCTCTGGACTTGCTATACATTCTTTTACTTTATCTAAGTATAATTATGTGTTCTTTCCCTCTTTGTGAATCTTAATGAGTCCCTCTTTGTAAAAAATATTGTTTGAGATACAGACTAAAACCTTTATGTTATTCATTAGCTTATTAATTATTTCAGTGCACGTGTTTTTGTAGGAAATGTAGCCCTACAAAGAAAACACTTGTCTGTAGTCTGATTTGCCTCCAGCCCTCCAGGAAACATAGCTGGGCCCATTTCTCATGTGTGTGGTCGTCATGGTCTCATCTTCAGAATGGAGGAGGATGGCAACAGCTTCTTAGTGATCTGAATATGAAGTTTATGGAAACAAAGAAAATTGCTGCATGTGTTTTGCTCAGTGGTTAAATAAGAAAAGGATATTGTTTGAGTGTTTTTTGTGTTGGAAGTTCTGTATGCAGTTTTGGGGTTTTGGCTTCACTCTCTTTCATTTATAACTCCCACATTTGTTTTACACAACTTAGATTTTTTCTCCTATGCCTGGAGAGTCCTGTGAGATCATCAACCCTTCCTTGAGCAGAAGAATGTCAGTTAATGGTGAGAAGCTACTGAAGAGAGAAAAACCGCGAGAGTTAATTTTTCCATCTAATTATGACCTCCTGCGACACCTGCAGTATGCTACGCATTTTCCCATACCTTTGGTAAGTCTGCGTCAATCAGTTGACAACTTGATTATTTCATTAGAGGATGATTAGCCATTGATTGTTCAACTACTTGCCAGAGCAATACATGGGATAGCAGGTGAGTGTTTGTATTCTTTGCTTCTTTTGTTATAACCCTGACCACATGGTTTTTGTATTGATGATTGCGCATGTGTGGTGTGGTACTACTAGCTGCCTAGATTTAATAAAATTTATTATATTAGTATCCTTTTATCGAGCATTTGAGTCACTGCAAATAATGGCTAAATTTGTTTTCCTATTTCAATTTGAAACTCATTCATTGAGTAGCATTTATGTGCATTGTATTGTGGTAATTTCTTTTGGTATTATGCAGATGAATAAGAATTTAGGTACACAGGAAAGATGAATAAGATCGGAGGAGACAAATGTCTATAAAATGAATACTATTAAAAAGTAAAATGAGTAAAAATCCAATTGTCCACTGGAAGTTGAACCATTTGACATTTTTGGGTTTCTCCCACTCTCCAAGAGTAAATATTGGAAGGAGAGAGAGAATCTGATTGAGAAATTGGTTAGGGCTTCATGAAAGACATTGTATGTGAGATAGATTTAGATTTTGACCCATTAACTGGAGAGCACATAGGAAATACTTACCAGGAAATTTTGTGTGTGAATTATAAAGAGTGAAGTGCTCTATTTTAAAGAGAAACAAGTTTAGTTTTTCTCATTAGTAATAAAGATTGGGCCAAGATCTGTAAATGTTTTTATTTTTAGGTTCACTATCGTTTTTTCCTGGGCTTTTAAGTGTAATTTTAATGAGTAAATCTCATTGAAGACTATTAATTTAGCAAAAAATTTAATCTTAGGTATGCATTATGTTATTTTCTGAATATCTTTAAGGAGTTTTGATCTGCAAACTAAATATTTTCTTACATTTGTTTATTTACTTATTGATTGATTGATTGGTTATTTTGGAACTTTCTCTGAAACAACTTTCAAAATCACTACACCCATGTATTTTTTCCCCCCTTGATTAAATTAAGAACCCCCATTTTGGTGTGAACTTTTCTATGTCCAGGACTATATCAAAAGTTGCCACAATTCTTTCTTGTTCATCACTGGCTGACGGTATCAACATTATTTTTTTTAATCCTCACTTGAGGATATTTCTTCCATTGATTTTTAGAGATAGTGGAAGGGAGAAGGAGAGACAGAGAAACATCAGTGTGAGAGAGGCACATCAATTGGTTGTCTCCTGCATGCCCCCGACCAGGGCCAGAAGCCTGCACCTGGGATATGTGCCCTTGACCAGAATCAAACCCGGGACCTGTCACTCTACAGGCCAAGGCTCTATCCACTGAGTCAACCTGGGTAGGGCTGTCTCAATACTTATCAGCTGTTACCTGTGCCACTCATTTTTAATATAATGGAATGATCTTACAGTTTATTCAGGGCAGCAGAAAGAGTAGCCTGATATTTTAGAGCTGTATCCTGAAGAATCCCTGGATGAACTATCATGATATCTGGGATTTTTTTAAAGTAGAGTCTGGGGGTGGGGTAATTGAAGTGGAGTATATTTAACAGTAATGCACTGATATTCATAGCCCAGTTTTGACAAATGTGTTATGGGTGTGTAAGGTATTAGCATTAGGGCAAACTGGGATGAAGGGTATGTGGGAATTCTACCATATTTGTTCCATTCTTATAAATTTTATATTACTTCAAAATAAAAGGTTTATTTTGGAAAAAGAAGAAAAAGCTAGAGGGGAAATGAAGCAAATATGGCAGTGTTGAAAATGGTTGAAGCTGGGTGAGCAGAGCTTCACAGGGCTCCCCTCCACATGCCCGGGGTCAGAGCAGACGCCCCACACACGACTACTTCATTCTTTTGTCCACATCCTTAGCAACCCTGTCCTCCCGGCATTTAGTATTGTAAACACTGTCCACTAACTTTCCTGAGGCAAAAACATGAATTACTTCTAATGGCTAATTCTCATGGTGAATTATGATATACAGTAATTCAATTGTATTGTAATCATAAAAAGAACTAATGAATGGATGTGGCAGGGTATACTTCATAGCCTTCCATCACCAGTTGCTCTTAATTCCTTTATACAGTGAGTATAATTAGAAGAAGGCATCAATAAAGGGAAATAAAGCATATGCTAATATTACATGTTATAGAGTCTGGTTTTCTTCCTTACTAAAAAGGAAAAATTGGCTGGCTTACCAAGCAGGTGAGGTGACTATAAGAATATGTTTTAAAACAAAGGTTCTTTTACCTCTGTCTCTTAAGATGTGGCCCTAGTGACTGAAGGCCAAGAAGAGAGGACTAAAGTGGACTTAACCAAAAGGTTTTGAAAAATAGACTAGTTTTGTGTATGCTCTTTTAAGAATAATGTCTTGATCTGCCCATCAGCAAAAACATGTTCTTAGAATACCAACAAGCACAGGTTCTAGGATAAGCATCCTACCAGCCTGTTGGGGTCACACATGTGATGCTGATGGGGGCTCCTGTTATTATCCCTCGCCAGTTAGCATTTGTTCAGAACTTACCATGTTGTGAGTGCAATGGGCACTTGTGTGTGTATTTTCTTATTTACCATTCTCTTCAAACTCTAAGAATATGTTTGTGAAATTGTAGACAGGAGTTGTCTTGGGTCAGGCTTTAGAAAATAATTCTTCTCAATGCAGATCTAAAAAGGAGTATGGAATCATACACAGTTTCTTAATCATGGCAACTAATGTTCGTGGATTACCGGTTGTTTTAATATGAGCTTTTACTATTGAGATGAAAACCCCCCACAAAATTTCATGAATGCTTGTCTAAACTTTCCAATCTTCTTTTCTTTAAATAAGTGCCTTATTTCATCATCTGTTGAATTGTTTCTGCTTTACTGGCAGTAGAGAGATTAAAGGGTGCGATCCTTAGAGCAGGAGTCACCCACACTCCAGTGTGTGGCCTCAGACGGGGTCACTCCCCTCCAGGATCTGAGTGGCAGCAGCCAGCCTAGCACCACTGCCTTCCTAACCAAGCCTTGTGGTGTGGCCTGGGCATATCTATTTTAAGACCATTTGAATGATGCTCTTTTTCCATAACTTCAATGTGAGTTTCTAGGTCCAAAACAGTAGTTTGGCAGTTAGTATGATTTAACAATCCCCCCTGAAAATGTTTTATGTTCTATTTCTTATTACTATAAAATAAAAATAAGAAATCACTGGATTTGCCATTCTAACAGCAGAAAGTTATTTGGAGTAGTGAGGTGAAAGGTTACCTTCTTTGAAGAGGTGGATTAAAATAAATCAGGATTCATGTATAAAAATAAGCTGGCTTTTTATTTTTAAATGATATAAAGGACTTTAAATTGTGTTGCTGAAGGGCTTTATGAAAACTTATATAGAGTTTATACTTGTCCCTTGAACATGTGGAGGTCAATGACGCTAACGCCCTCACAGTAAAAAAGATCTACATATAACTTATTATTCCCCACAAACTTAGCTGTTGACTGGAAGCCTTATTGATTTCATAAACAGTTGTTGGACACATATTTTATACATTATATGCATTATGTATTTTATTCTTATAATAAAGTAAGCTAGAGCAAATAAAATGTTATTGAAAAAATCATAAGGAAGAAAAAATGCTTTTATAATACCATACGTATTTATTGAAAAAAATTTGTGTGTAAGTGGACCCCTGCAGTTCAAACCTCTGTGTAAAGGCCACCTTTGTTTTGCGTATTTTTATCAAGAAGTCAGTTCCAGGTATTTCAGTGAACACCTCTGTGTCTGCCATAGAAGTCATTTGGATTTCAAGGATATTGCAGGGGTTTACATTGGTTTAACAAGAATGTTTAGTATTTTTGCTACAAATATTTGCCTTAACAACCAAGAAGTACTGTTTGGTTTGCATTTAAAAACAGGGTTTCACAGCAAACCATGCCATATTTGCTAGCCGTCTGTACTTTTACATTCGGGGGCTCTCTTTCCTCCTCTTTTCCAGTTGTTTTGCACTTGTTGTCCAGTAAGGGAAGAAGTCACAGCATAAATTTATAGCACAATCCCATGGTTTATGCATCATTTTCACAACTTGATTTTTCTTTCTGAGCCCTGCTCTCCTTACCTGAAGCAAAAGTTGCAGTGACCTTCAAGCGGAATGCCTTGGAGAGTTGATAGTACAGGAGAGGGTCAAAGCACAAGTTTGACACCGCCAGGAGCAGTGTGGCCTCTTTGGCTTTGAAGAGGGAAATCCTGGTAGCACAATCAGATATGACCTCGGTCTGGCTGAGCGTGTATGGGATTCTGACAATGTGATAAGGAACAAAACATATAATGTAGGCTGCAGTCACTAAAAGTATGTTGACGAGAGCTCTTTTCACATTTGAATAATTTTCATTATCTTTGTTTCTGTAGAGTTGTCGAATTACTAGGCAGTTTGATATTAAAATGATGGCGGAGAAATTTAAAAATATAGCTATACACAGGAAGTTTGTCAGCAAATGCCAATTTCTTCCAAACTCCTTTTTGAATTCCACGCATCCTACATTTGGCTTTTCCTTAATGTCTTTGATGGGAATCACCATGTTTGGCACCATTATCAGAAGGACCATTCCCCACACGACGGCCGATATCATTTTGCCAAATGCAGGTTCTTGTATTCGATAAATCTTGCTGCTGTGTGTCAATTGAAGACAGCGGTCAATGCTGACAAATGCTAAGAAGATAATCGATAAGTACATATTAATGTAGATGAGGCAGGCTGTTACTTGGCAGTGGAATATCCTCAGCTTCCAGGGTGCCACACCCAAGTCAACAGCAATTTTCACTGGTAATGCCAGAGTGAGCAGGAAATCGGCTGTAAGCAAATTAATTAAGTATATGCTTACACACCTGTGATTTGTGTTTTTCTGCATGAAAGCCCATGTTGCAAAACAACTCCCAATAATTCCAATAAGGAAAACTAAGTAAAAGAAATATGTGAATGGTTCCAGATCTCTATACACTGGACAGAAGGTAGAACTGTTTGTCATCTTGTGCAAAAGTAAGGACGGCTCTTCTGAAAAACAAAATTTTAAAAATTTGTTAAAAGAGAAGGGAAGAGAGGTTAGTAATTAAAATTAGAAATTATTTCCTTTAAAATAAGCTGCACTCACAGTCCCACTGTCCCAATCTTTCTGATTCTTAGAATTTTTCTGATGAACTCTTCTAAATCATGTGGACTGGTGGGAACATCTTAGCTTAGGAGGAAACTTGGGTTTTCATGGTCTATTTTTGTGTTTTTGAGAAACCCCATTAAATTAGCTTCTAAAAGACATATTTTTGATATCTCACTTTTGCCTTCTGATAACTCTTCTTACCAGTTGGCTTGGAAGTTAGTTTGCAGAGGAGATAAGTAAACTGAAATTCTGAGAACTAGAGAGTCGGAACTAGGGTAAAATGTTTGGTTGTGGTTGAGCCGGAAGAGTCAAATGAGGCTGCCTGACTTTCTTTCTTTGTAGGTTGACAGAACTGCTCGTGCTGGAGGAACCTAGATTGAGGGGGTGAAAAGAGTAACAAAGCTGTACTAAAATTTAAAAGTAAATATTTCAAAAGTAGGCCCTTTATTGTCTAACCTACTAGAACATTTTCACAATCAAAATTTTCTTTTCTTTTTCTTCTTAGCAGAAAGTGTTGAAGGATTAGAGTCTAGTCCAGATTTTATGCTTATTACCTTCCTTTTCCTAGCTCCAGTTTCATGGTATAGACCTGTGGTGTCCACTATGGTAGGCTGTAGCCACATGTGACTACTGAGCATTTGAAATGTGGCCAGTCCAGATTGATATGTGTTGTAAATGCAGAACACACACTGGGTTTTAAAGATTGAGTACAAAATATTTTTTAAAATAGTACAAGTAGTATAATTGTATACATTATGCAAATAATATAACAATTAATAAAATATCTCATTAGTATTTTCATACTGAGCACATATAAAAATATTTCTGAAGTATTAAGTTAAATATAATGTTAAGATTAGTTTATCCTGTTTCTTTTTGCTATTAAGCTACTAGATAATTTTAAAGTGTCTCTGTGGTTTATATTATATTTATGTTGGACAGTGCTTGTATAGATGTTTCTGTATTATTAGTATTTTTAAGACATTTCAAGGATGTATTTTAAAGGCTTCTAGAACAAGGATACATGACATTGGTAACAAAACTCTCAAAGAAAAGCTCAGTTATATTAGTATCAAAACGTCTAACATTAACACTTGAGAGTTTTTTCTTTCTCTTTCATTGCGAGTTTTGAGGCAGTCAAGCTAGAACACTTTGATTTACACAATCCCATGTTCCTCCAAGTCTGGAACATTGGGTGTTAGAAGCCCAAGTTCAACCAATTGGACTTCACTGACTGCCTTTGACTTGGTCCCACGCCACTGATACCCCAAGGTCACAGACATTTCTTTCTGGGGCTGCTTCTTGAGATGCTCCCTTCTCATGCATATTAAATACCTTTCTTTTATTTTAACAAGAAGAGTATTTTTGTGTTTTAGCCATAAAAATGGATAGATAACTTTTTAAATGTAGTAACTAGTAAGTCTAATGGCTGACTAAGAAGGCTAGACAAGCCCATTCACTCAAACTTCCCTTAAAAAACACCCCCCCCCAAAAAAAAATAAAACAAAACAAAACTGCTGAAGCCTTTCTGAATCTTAATTCTCCTTAATTATTGAATGATCCATTATATGCATCTTGGGATGAAACAGTATGCAAATGGATTGACAAAGCAACAATATATAAATCTTCCCAAGTTAGTGTCATGGAAAGGGTACATGACCTTCCCCCTTTCTGACCTTGAGAGGATTTTAGAGTCCACAAATGGACATAAATTCAATAGAAACAATTAAGCACTGACTTTGTATCTGGCACTATGCTAAGGACTTTACATGTACCTGGTAACCTCCCATCATTCCTTCCATGTAGGTATTATTTATTCCTGTTTTCCAGATGAGAAAACTGAGGCACAACAGGTTAAGTAATGCCAAAGATTATATGGTTGGTTATAGAACCAGGATTTCAACTCGGGTTGTCTGATCTCAGAAACCACTCCAAAAGTCTGCCCCAACAATAATAGTATTAACAATGATGATGGTGATGATAATGATGATGATTATTATAGCAGCCATCCTTTACTAAGGGCAGCAACTATAGTCTAAGCAATTTTCATTCTTAATCTTTTTCTAAATACTAATAAAAGAAGTTGAGGCTTCATGTATTTTGATGTTTCATTTTATTATATATATATCCTGTTTCCCCGAAAATAAGACAGTGTCTTATATTAATTTTTGCTCCCAAAGATGTGCTAGGTCTTATTTTCAGGGGATGTCTTATTTTTCCATGAAGAAGAATATGGTACAGATTTATTGTTAAATGAAAATAAAGGAAATTTATTACCTGTATACGGTACGGTAGTATGGTAGTTGTCAACACAAACCAGACAAACTGTGAATCCTACAGTATCAAGAATTTACTCATTTATTCAATGACAATCATGTCATCATCTTCTGGAACATCATCATAACAATCCCATTCCTGAATTTCCTGGTGAATTTCTCGTGACTCCATTTCTTTCAGAATCAGTGGACCAAATCTCTCAAATATCAAGGTGGGGGGAGGGATATCACTTAAAATGACACAGGGGGGATCAGAGAGGGGAATCAAAATGGCACAGGAGAATCAGAGGGGGGAATTACACATTTTAGTAATCCCTTTTGATCCTCCTGTGTCATTTTGATTGCCCCCTCTGATCCTCCTGTGTCATTTTAAGTGATCCCCCTCCTCCCACCCCTGTGCCACTGAACACCTTCACCAGATATCACCCCTACCCCTTTATCAGACATTTACCCCCTGGGGCCTGCCTGGGGACTGTCACTGGGCTTGCTGGGGACTGGATCTGGGCTGGAGCAGGGTCTGCCACTGACTGAGAACCTTCAGTCATCATGAGGGCGGCTGCGAGCATCAGGTAGTGTTACCAGAGACAGACCAGCTCTCACCACCTTCGCCACATCCCGTTGGCTCTAATCCTTCTGTTCTACATGCATCTGCAAAAATCTCCTTCTCTCTCCTGCCCTGCGCTCACCGCTCACTCTGACCTCCGCTCCGCCTCCACATAGCAGTGACGTCAGGACTCCGCGTAATGTCACTGGTTGCTAGAAGCCAGTCGGGGCGGGCCTAGCGACCAGTTTACAGTAAATTAATTTTCATTGTGAGACAGCCTGGGGGGGGGGGGGCTTATTTTTTGGGGGATGCCTTATATTTCTTTCTTTTAAAAAAAAAATATATTTTATTGATTTTTTACAGAGAGGAAGGGAAAGAAATAGAGAGCTAGAAAGGTCAATGAGAGAGAAACATCGACCAGCTGCCTCTTGCACACCCCCTACTGGGGATGTGCCCACCACCAACGTACATGCCCCTGACCGGAATCGAACCTGGGACCTTCCAGTCCGCAGACCGATGCTCTACCGCTAAGCCAAACCGGTTTGGGCAATGCCGTATATTTCAATCAGAAGGAAACCTATAAGTAGGTCTTATTTTTGGAGGATGTTTTATTTTTGGGGAAACACGGTATACACACATACACACACACACATACACATACACACACATACACACACACACTAGAGGCCTGATGCATGAAATTCGTGCAGGAATAGATCTTCCTTCCCCCAGCTGCTGGCACCAGCTTCCCTCTAGCACAGGGAACCCATGCTTCCTTGCAGCCCTGGCTTCCTCTGGAAGGACTTTTGGTCTAATTAGCATATTATTCTTTTATTATATATATAAAGGAGTGGAACCTCTTTTCTCGAACTTAATTTGTTCCAGAAGGCTGTTTAAAACCAAGTCTTTTTTCCCTATTAGTAAATTGAGTTAATCCGTCCCAGACCCCCAAATGATTTTCTGGTTTAACCTTTCTTGCATACAGTATATGTCTACTGTGCTATTTAATATGTAAATAAACACTTAAAAAACAAAAAGAACATGAAATGTAAATGAAAATCAAACAAAAAGGAAATGAAATGTATAGTAAAAAAATGAAAATTTAACAATAATTAAAAGCAAAAAATATTCACAGCACAATATCCTGAGGTCAGCTGACTCATATTTGCACATTCTCCTTTTTCACCTGAGAGATGCATGACTGATCATACAAGCACCAGCATGAAAGGGTTGTCAGGTGGAGAAGCAAGTTTTTTGAGATGGGAGATGTTTGAGAAATGAAGTTCCACCATATTTCAAAACCAAACCAAAGTTCTATCCTTTAAGACTAACCTTTAATTTTGAAGTTCCCATGACCTAGTCTCTTCATACTTCCCCACTGTCTTTGTCCCTCCTTACTGCTTTAGATCGGAGAGGTCACCTCTGTCTGTGAACTGTTTCTTCTGTCTTTGTATTTTTGGTTGTGATTAAATTGTGGGATCAAAGGACTTTAAGAATGGGCATGTGCTCTGACCAGGAATCGAACCGGTGATTTCCTGATGCAGTGGACAATGCTCAACCAACTGAGTCACACTGGATGAGTATAATGTGCTTTTTAAAAGTGCCTCATTGCTTATTCTGTCATATATAATAATAGGCTAACACAAAAATAGACCCGAACAACTGAACATCCTGTTGATATGACATGCGCTGACTACCAGGGGGCTTGCGCTGAACATGAGGGATGTTGACCAGGGCCAGATGGTGGAGCAGGTGAGTGGTAGCACCAGACCAAGGCAGGGAGCCAGTTGCTGTCATTGAGGTGAACCTCTGGTGGTTACTGAAAAGTCTTTGCTCCCATATGCTGCAGTTCTGCCTGGCGATCACACCTGCAGCTTGCATTGGCCCTACTCACACTCACCACCAGTCCTGGAGCCGCCACTCATACCCGCTGCCAGTGCCAGCCCCACTCACACCCACAGCTGGCGCTAGAGCTGCTGCTCGCACCCGCTGCCAGTGCCCAGAGCCTGTCCCAATAGCTTGGTGCCATCAGCAGGTGCAAGTGGTGGCTACAGGCCCTGATCACCCCTGAGGGCTTTTCCACCTCTTCCTTCTCCCAAGGGGCTATCAGGGCAGCAGCTGCCACTCACACCTCCTGATGGTGTCAGCCCTAATCACCCCCTGCTGCTGGCACAGGCCCAAATGGCTCTGCACCTTCAGTGGGTGTGAGTTGGGGATGGGGGTTGGGGGAGGGAGGGCTGTGGAGCAGAACTGCTGACAGATGGGGGACCTGGGGCTGCAGTAGGAGGGGATGGGGGGTGGGGCACGGAGGTCCTGTGCCTACTGTAGCCTCACAGCCCACAGTTCCTTTATATAAGTGGGTTTTTAAGTTACTTTAGGGGTAGGTCTCTAGTTATACAATAAAGCCTTATTTTATAGAAGAATGTATAGTAAACACAGATTAGAGAAGGATTTGTTTTGATCAATTAATATTCTCTATAACTGGCACTGACCATATATACCACCCATAAGGAATTTATTTAAAAATAATCACAGTGTGTTTATGTATACAATAATGCTTGAGAATCACATAGTGCCTTGCAGTGGCTTCCATCAACCTGTCTAGATTGCAACAGAAACAAAATCTCTTCATTTAAAATTTTGGTATGTCAGTTAGAGGTTAAATTATACTATAATAACATCTGTGTTATCAATAATGAATTTGTAAACTAAATACTTGATTAATAATTTGTCAGCCACTTATTAGCCTGTGGAAAGTTGTGGTATCCAGAGGTACTCCAGCAAAATAGAAAATATTTCAAGTGTCTCCTTTATTTGGATTGAAAGCCCATTGCTTAGAAAATAAACAAATTAGGTTTTTTATGGAAGTCACAATGGAATTTTTTTGTAATTACCTATTATAATGTGTATAGTAAGAAGTGATTTTAAGAACCATTGTGCCCTGTTGTGAGGACCAATATGGCCTTTATTCAGCCAGTGGTAAAATTGAGTTACTTATTAGCAAGTATTCAGTCTTGTATGGATTAAGCTGTCTTTCTGAGAATGGATGGGGTCTTTAGATAGAAGAACATTATAGTGTAGTTCACAGTGAAAATCTACTTAGAGATTAATAACTGGTGCTTTCTCACCCAGCAACCTTGCTACATGTTGACATTTCCAATTACATGATTTAAATACCAAAAATTATAGCTTTTCCTTCCAAGGAAAGCCAGTTGAGAATATTAAGTATTTAAAAAGACATACCTGGGAGTGTATTCCCGAAGCCTCAGGGGCCGCTCTCCAGTCCTCAGAGAAGCATGTGCTGTCCCCCTGGCTGTCGCAGTAACAGCTCTATTGAGGGGCTGCTGGCTGTACTAAAAATTTCCTTTCCTTTTGTGTGGTTTTAAATGTCACACATTGACGTAGATGAAACTGTGGTTTGCAAATAGCTTAACTCTATGAAGGTCTACTAAGGAGGTTCTTTTCAGTCTTGTGTATGCTTTCTTAAGCAATTCAGATTAGTTTATTCTAATATTAGAGGATTTTTATTTGTCCATTATAGTGCTTAATTTTTTTTAAACACGAAAGTTGTGTTTTTCATCATAATGATTTTAAAGAACATTAATTTTTATGCCTCGAAAGGGTGTTCAAGCAAATTTCTTTAGTTCTACATATTGATTCCCATCAGCCTTTCAAAGTTATAATTTTAAAATAATTGTTGCTGTATGGATCCTGCTAGAGATACCTTTTTTAATAAATAAACAAAGAAGATGTGATTTGACATCATCTGGTAACCTACTCTATATTTTATTTTTCTTTATTCTTTTTCATTGTAGAAAAATCTGGAAATAGAAGAGGTAAATCACTGTACACAGAGATAATCCCTGTTAACTTTTTAAGCACATACATTTAAAATTTTCTGAATGTATATATACCCACTTAAAAATATTATTATATTGTACATACTGGTTCATAGTTTGTACTTTTTTCACTCAATATATTGGATTTGTTTTCCTTAGTTATTAGAGTAGGCATATAATGAATATTTGTCAATTTTGCCCAAACAGCTTAATGAATTGAGACAGTTAATTTGTAATTATTAGATTGGATGAAACTATGCATTTTAAATTTTTGGGTCATTGTTCAATCTGCCTGTGAGTGAGCAAATATTTAATGAGTATCTGAATGGAGCCCAGCATGGTGATTGACCTAACAAAAAAAATCAATCTGTTATCTCTGTCAATTATTGGCTGTTAGGTTATGCTTCTTGCATGAGGGTAGCTTTTACAAAACAGAATATTAAGTGTACATTTTAAGAACATTTTAATAAGTTCTAAGTCTGCTGGTGCAAAGTCAATTTGTAGTTGAGCCATTGCCTGGTCATTCATGGTCTGCTTTCTTCTGTTGCTTCATTCTTTGGTAGATGCTTCGATTTCATCTCTTTTTCTCCTAATAATTCTTAGTTCCCAAATAATTAGAAAAATGTTCAAAGGAACCTTTCCAGAGTTTAAAATTCAGTCCCTTTTTGTCTTCACTTTAAAAAAGAAAATTCCTCAAAAACCTAAATGGGAAATGCCAAGCTGAGGTAATGAATTTAGAAAGAGTCAAAGGGACCTTTTGAAAAAAAGCAATGAGAGGATGCTTATGATGATTTTGGCCATTTGTTTCAGATATTCTGGTGTCCTCCAGATCCATGTAATTATTGTTTTTATTTTGCAGAAGAAGAGGTTTGGTTTTTTGTTTGTTTGTTTGTTTGTTTGTTTGTTTGTTTTAACATATGTTCACTTAAAAATTAGAGGAAAAACCCAAACTCGCTCCCCTTTGTATTTGATTCTGGTTCAGCACCAGTGTTAACTCTCATTATGATAGTGCTTGGAAATGATCAGTCTTTTTAGATCTGTGTGGGACAGAGCTCACTGAAAACACTTCAAAAAAGACTTGCCTGCAGATGGTTAGGTAAAATGGTATGGTGGGGGATAGGGAAGCTGAGATGGAGAGAATTTGGCGAGATAGTTGGCTGCCAGCTCAGTGGTGAATGATTTTAACTTGGTGTGAAGGAAAATAGAATAAAAAGGTTTTGGTAAAGTTGTTTTTTAAGTTGGTGTATTTATATGTTTACTTCCATGTTCACTTTGGGGTATAGATAGAGCTAAGAAGTACATTCTACTGTCCTTAAAAACCCACCTAGGCCTTTGTGTCTGGATTGCCAAATGTTCAAGAGCTGAAGTACCCCAGATCTCAGAGTTCTGTTTCCTTTTTGGAATAGTGGGAAACCACACTTTTAATAGTGAAACTGAACCAGGTTCTTCCTTTTGAGAATGAGCTTGAGGCACCTTGTGTTTTGTGGAAGTTTATTCACAGTGGAAATATACTTTAGGGGGCTGTTGTACCTCTTCTTTGTATTAACATGAGTTCCATTTGAATTTCCATAAGTCACCTTTTTTCTGTTTTATTAGGACAAATGTTGTTCAGGTTGTCTCTTGTTAGTGTTCTAGGAAATGACACATAACCACTAACCCAGTACTTCAGAAACCCAAGTGGGAAGGAGTGAGGGGAAATTATTTTTCCCTTATTTGGTCATGACAACAGTACATTTTATTAGAAACTAGAGGCCCGGTGCATGAAATTCATGCATGTGGGAGGAGGGTCCCCTCAGCCTAACCTGCACCCTCTCCAATCTGGGACCTCTGCCTGACTGCTGGTTTAGGTCTGATCAGTATTCCACTGTTGCCACTCTTCTCATGGAATTTGCAAGTCAGGATACTCTCAACAGTAACTTACATCCTGACACTTTTTATGATCCTTGGTTAATGAATGCTGGTGATCAAAACTTCTCTCTAGCAGCTTGTGTGGCTGTGATCAGCCTTCTCCTTGGAGCCACTTTTGTGCTTTTGGTTTGTGCTTTGAAATTTTTTTTTAAAGCCATGTAATTCCCTTTCCCACTTGGATCACTCCAAAGTTTTTTTTCCTGACCCTAGTATCTTCAAATTTGTGAGTGAAGGACATTTTGGACAGAGTTTATAGCTCTTACAAGATGTTGCTTTGTCTGCATGATTTAAGCTCTGCCTTCATTTGTTACCTTTATAATGAAAGGGAGTAAAAATTTGGAAATGTTTTGAAGGCAAATGTTTTGCATGTTCTTGGACTGTGAAGTTGGTTGTAAGAATGGCTGAGCATATTCCTGTCATTTTCCTTGCCCTCCTTTTGCTCTTCTGCCTTTTTATTGACAGTGCAGTGCTGTTTGGGGGTCAGCACACAGTCCATTTGGCCTTTCTGCTGTGAGGTGCAACTGCTCTTTAACCCACGGTTATAAAATAAATAAATGGAAGGAAATTCTTTAAAAAGAACCTTTAAAGGTTATCTTGTTTGTTTTTAGTCACTGAGTTCATTTTTTTCTTTTCCACTTGTGTCATTAGGCTCCCTTTTTAATGAAGTATGAGTAACACATTTTCAAAGCTCAGAACTCTCAGTTTCACAAATTCTGTAATTTTTCCAGGAGTAGGTTCTTTAGAGGAATTCTCCCTTTCTTTTCATGTGAACCTTTGTTTTTTGATGAAGTAAAGAAAAATTCCAACAACAAATATTTATTGATTTGCAGGCTGCCTCTTTAGCGCCCATCCTAGGGAATATTTTTGTGACTTTTAGAAGGTTACAATGTAGAAGGGTTGACAAAAATATGTAGAACCTGCAGTGATCCAAATCTGCTACTGGCTGTTAGAACTTGTGAATCCAGGAGATGCCCAGTGGGATGAAGGGATGCTTCTGGAAAGTGGGAGCATGACTGGTGAATGTGAAGTGTGTTTGCAGACTCTCAGGCATTCTGGGCAGTTGGAGTATCTGAGCAGGATCTGTGTGAGGACAGAGATGAGACCAAATGTTAGACCAACCTGGCCAGCCTTGGATGCTTCAATAAGAGGGGCGAGCTCAGGAAAATTGTGTGTCAGTTCAGCAGTGGGTAACACTGCGGTGTTATAATAGAATGTGTGGAGTCAGGGGAGAATGTGGAAGGCAAGATGCCACTTAGAAGAAGACTGCAGTCCTGTTAGCTGAGAGGCTTTGAGGATCGGAAATGCACGGCAGTGGGAGGGAAGCGACCAAGGTTCAGTGCTGGGAAGGGAAGTGTGAAGAAGAGAGAATCTGGTGTGTTGACTTCCTGTGTTTTTAGTGACATTTCATTATTTTATGTAGCACAGATTGCTTTTTATTCCTCTCAGTTAGATATTAAATATTCCTCAGTGCTTTGTCTGTCACCATCCGGACACCTGAATATAAACTTGTAAACACCTCAGATGCTCTTATTTTGAACAACATTGATGGAAACACTGCATTTATTATAAAAAATAGCTTTTTATTCAGCTAAATGCTTTAATAATATAAAACATAATATAATGCACGTTTTTAAAAAAATGATACCAGGCTGAAATTGGCTTTTACTTTAGAAACAAAATGAAGATTAATTCCTTATTTCAGTGAGATGTCAGAGAGTTGGTATTCTCAGAAAGCCAAGGGCCCAAAGTGGAACATGATAATTAATAGCTTGAAAAATCTGTGAGTTACAATTTACTGTAGAAAAGAGATTATCAAGAAATTGTTTTTAAGTAATATGATGGTTTATATGGAGATAATGAAAACCATCTTTTGGTGTCTTATGTCCAGGGATGGAGTGATAGGGAATAAGCCCATGGGACTTTGTCATGCACTTTGGGGGTTTAGCAGTTCAGCAGTGACTGCGATTTGGGAGGGAGAGGGAGTAGTGTAGCTCTGGGCTTCCCTGGATGTACTGGATCCAAGGGGCTGGAACAGCAGGATTACCCTGACCCAGAGTCCTGCGTTGTTGGTCCGCACAGCACTGAATAAAGATAACTGGTGAAAATAGTTTTCATATCTGTTGTGGTTGAGATGGGCCTCATTTTATAACACTGCCTCCCGCTTTTCCCTCAGCCTGTGGGGTGGGGAGATAGGAATGGAGCCGCTTCTATTCCTTAACAACCTGGAGACCTTATTTTATGGAATACTTTATTTCTTTTCTGCAGCTAGTTTATCAATAAGGTTTAAAAAAATCTATGTACTACTGATAAAGTATACAATATTTAATCATTTTGTATAAACAGTGCTATGAAATGATTGAAGCATTTTTCAGAGTGGCTTGTGAGAAAGGAAACTAGATTTTGTTGAAGTATTTTTTTGGGGGTATTTCTTGTCATGAAATGGAAGTCTGCGTGCCATTGGCTGCTTGCAGACAATAGGTGACCAGGGGAAATGGTGGTTTTCCTTTGAAGAGCACTGGGTGTGGTGGTTCCCCCTTGCAACCACACACCTCACAGTGCTGTTTCTCAGAGCACAGCCCCAGGCGTTTTGGAGGGGGATGACCTGTTTTGTGTGTAATTGTAAAGATGCAATCTCCTGGTGTTACAGATATTATCTGTATGAATAAATATACTGACTTTCCTTCTTTCTCCAGTGCCAGTTAGAACATGCAGGGTGGGTAAGGACAGACCACATCAGATGGAAGCACAGCTGGTGTATGGTGTTTTCTAGAGTTCCTGGACTACTTCTTTAGCTAAGCCAATATACCAGGTCTTACTCATTTGTAGGTAACAAAGAAATACAATGATGATACCACTTATGCTATAGAAGAGATTTATTAGCTGAGTGTCCACAGTTGTGGCAGCGGCCTTAGTAGAGGCTGATGAAGGACCTTGGTCGCTGGACCAGGGCTGGGTTGGTAACACTTCTCTGGCCATCTTGTGCAAGGTTAGTTTCAACTCAGAGAAAGCTGTGATCTTTGCTTTTGTGGTGGCCGATGGAAGAAGCACTCTGGACTTTGCATGTTGACAGCAAGCCCTCTGGAGAATTTCTCAGGAATTTAGGACTTTCTCATATTGGGTCCTGTTCCCTCTCAGCATGTGGCCAGTAGACTTGGACATACTGGTTATCAGTTACGGCCTCACCCTGATGTCAGGGACAGGGTGGGCTCCAGGACTGTATATGGCCAAGAACAGGAAAAGGTGAATTTTCCAAAGGAAAATAATTTGCTTTTACTGCTGAGAAAAAAGTGTGGAAGTTGAGGAGATAACCAACGAGTGGGCATTGCTGATGATGACATTTTTTAAAAGACAGTTGCAAGGTGAGGGCATCTTTGTGGGTGGGTTTCATGTGTAACCTTTTTATATGTCTGTGATTTCTTTGTTTCTTGATTCTTGTCTCAAATGTTTCTTTTATAAAAAACGCTTTTGAGTATTTTTGTATAGGTGGTTGAACCAATTACACATCAACATAGAGCCTTAGTTTAGTTCAAGAAAACTTGAGGATTCTTATTAAAGGGGCGTTTTTGTTTCAGTCAAGAACCACTTCTGAGTCCCTTTCTATTAGATTTCTGCATGTAAAATGTTGCAGAGCAGCTGTCAGTATATCATTCTATCCACACATATGTTTTCTTTTCAATGCTGTCTTGGAATTCAAATTGTATGGCTTGAAAACACATGACCCAATTGGCTGAAACTAAGTGCCTGCTGGCCTTTTGGTGAGGCTCAAGCTCTTAGCACATTATCATCTCTTTTTCTTTTTCTTAATTATGTTTTTTATTGATTTTTCTTTTAGAGAGAGAGGAAAAGAGAGGGAAAATAGAGATAGAAACTTAAATGAGGGAGAAACAGAGATTGGTTGCCTCCTGATACCACCCAGTG